GCATCTTGTTATCTCAGTATCTTATATCTTATCATATGTTAGTTTTTCATGTTGTTCCTGTTCACCCTTAAAAAAATGAAGAAGAAGTTGTTTGAGGCAAGAGAAAGAAGATTAATTGTAAAGGTTATTAGAGGTTTCTAGGTTTGCTTCTTATGCTTATCTTTGACTTATTCTCCATTGCTCCTATAGTCCCTCTAGTTTGTAGTTACTTATCCCATATATTATTCTCTACCCTGTCCTTGGCCTCATTACAGCCCTGAAAAGACCTTTTGATCCTTATGTGATTAAGTATTGGGTGTTGATTTTAGAGGCTTGCCAAGTCTATCTATCACCATTATCCCTACATAAACAGTCAAGTTAGCATCAATAGGATTTTTACCCTCATGCCACAACAAGAACAACATTTTACCTAGCAGGTCATTTTCTAACTCGAGAGATTTGATCATGTTGATCAACCACCTCATAGGAAAGCGCCTAGAAGCTTTAACAACAAGTTTAGGTCAACTTGTTCTTTGGCTGATAGATATTCCATTGGTAGGGTGTCATAGCGCCAAGGGACACATGTCTAATAAAATGGAAACAATTCATTATCGTTCTCATCACAAAAGAACCGTCTTCTAGTTGGCCTAATGGTTATTCTAAAGAATTTGACTTTAAAATTATTTTATGAAGTAAAACTATCAAGTAGTTGCCGCTTCGACACCCTAATTAGCAACAACCACTTAGCCAAGTCGGTCGATTGGGTGCAACAGAAATGTAGGAATAATGAAGGCGATGGTACTATGTTTAAGCATTTGCAAAGATGGTTGAATGCTTGCATTTGTGCCCAACTATTAGGAAGTAACTAGTTTGGCGCCACATTTAGAGTCCTAATTAAGAACCCCATGGTGAAGTCGTCAAACAAAAACTTCACTTTCAAATCTCAAAACAGGCAATCATACAGATAGAATGAATCCATGTTCAGCACAAGCTTGCCTAAGAAGACGTAATTGGGATTAGGGGACACATCATTACGGCATGCAATGGTATCCATTGGATACATATCCTCTACAACGTCAAACGTTAAGCACTTGGTTTACTCTAGCGAATTGGCAATGATTCGAACATTCTAATATCGAGAAAAATAAGTTGCCACCTCTCCATTCACCCAAAGTAAACCCTGACACTTCGGATGGACCATAACTTTTTCAGCTAAATACTTGCTTGAGTTCAAGCCGACCTACCAAACTGGCGCTAATAGAGACTTCTTCTTGGCTCATTTCCTCATTCTCTTGTTGTCCTTTAACCCCGTCGTCAATTGGCACCACCTTAGGATCACCCCCAACGAACTTCACATCCACACTCATGGGGCCACTCGACAATGCAGATGATGATAATGACGATGATGAATAGGAATCAGACAACGACCCCAAGATAGATGACCCTACCGAAGATTCTTCGACCGAAGTGCAACTGGACTGTATAGAAAGTAAGTACCGGTTATAAGCTAACGTTACTTGACTATCCAATACAGTTGGTTGGATACCACAATGCACTCACTTGACTATCACAACGCACTTGCTCAAATTCAGATAAAATGACAAGGTGGACTCCACCATGCACGTATATATGGCACTTTGACAGAAGTGGAAGGTGAGATCCCATAGGTGTAACCATTACATCTTGGAGATCTAACGGTGTATAATTACGTAACTCTTCAATTCAACTGCCTCGATAAGTGTAAACCAGTGCAATGGTTACTAATGATGCGCTTCTTGAGATCCCTTACTTCTCAATTTTGTTCTTGGTTCGATTTCTCTCTCTAAGGCTAGGAGGCATGAATATTGAATAGACCATTTGGCCATCAGAAACCAACTAGATTAGGATCCTTTAGCACCTCGGTAATCGAAAAGATCACATCACCTATCGAAACCTTTGGTCGTCGTAAGAATCAGGGTGCCTCTTAGCACCCCCAACAATCGAAAAGATTAAGAATGAACCAACCTTTCGGAAGTCGATACGGCCGAAGGGTTAATGAACATAGGCAATCAATTATTTTAACCAAGATTATTAGAGCTTAATATCGTGTGTGTAAAATCAATTATCGACATATTACCTAGTTGGTAATCCTAACTTATGACCCATCAAGATGATCGGTTTTGAAGAGAAAAAAAAATAAAAATTAAAGACATCGGCAGAGAACAAATAAGTATTCTCGCACGGGACACTGTGCAAAGTTACAAACCAACAAACCTTGCATTTTGCTACCTGACTATGCATTGAAATGTGGTAAGTACTATAATGTTTATCGTATATATCATTTGTGGAACCAATATGGATTCTTAAACTACCTACCTAAGAAAATGAATAAATTAATCTTTATTCGGATTAACTTTTATAATTTGATTGAATTTCTTATTTATTTTATTCCAATTTTCACCACAAAACCATATATATATTTTTTATTTAACAAAATCTATCTTCAATTAATAATATTGCTATAAAAACTCTAGTCATTGTCATTTTGTTCTAGGTTGGAGTATACGGGATACTGATGAAACATCGCCATAAGACATTTAGACTTGAAAGCCAACAACTAGATATTTAATATAAGAATTTCAGAAATAAAATGGTTTTAAAAGTATTTTATTTGCCAACGATAGATATATCATGACTACGTACAATCATCTAAATCAGCTTAGCATTGGTAGGATTTTGAATGAAGTCTTTCAACCAAGTGGGTTTATTAATTGAACCTACAATAAAGTAGAGCTTTTGTTATTTTCTTTACAGCAGGGCGTTTTACGTTTTCTTTTAGCAAAAGTTATTTTTTAAGTTAAAAAGTAAGTAATCGGATCCATTAATTTTTTTAATTAAAGTAATTGGATCCATTTAATTTTTTATTTAAAACGTCCGAGTCCCGATCAAGAAAGACATCATGTGCTTGCCTCGACATGATTTCTTGATATTATAAAACAACAAAGATAAAAGAATTAAAGTAATCGGATCCATTAATTTTTTTAATTAAAGTAAGGCTGATTAAATTACTTAAGGAATCAATTTTTGCAAATTCATGTCTTTGACGCAAGGGTGCCATAATGTATCATCATATTCTTTTTATATATATAAATAAAAGAATTTCTTTGTCATTTATATATTCCCAATAAAACTCAATAAAATTAAAACACAAATCTAAGTCTTGAACCAAGAAACAATGACAAAAATAGTAATTAAGCTACAAAATATAAAACAAGACTAAACCTTTTTTTTTAATCTATAGAAATTAAATTTTCAGCTTTTTTTTTTTGTTTTTGATTTTAATGAAAACGAGTACGTATTAATTGGAACTACAATATCTTAAAAGTAGAGATTTTCTTCTTCTTCTTTATTGACAGCAAGATTTTTCATATATTTTTTTGACAGTGGGGTTTTCTTATGTTTTTTTACGCCAAGGTTTTTCTTATATGTTTTGTTTTTGACATCAGGTTTATGTTAAGAAGCAAGTAACCGGATCCATTTAATTTTTTTTAATTAAACGTTCAAGTCCCGATGAAGAAAGATATCATGTGCTTGCCTTGAGATAATTTCTGGGCATTATAAAACAGCCAAGAAAGACATCAAATTGATTTGAATTTTAAAGATAGTAGGGATGAATTTCGTGAAAGAAAAAACTAAAGGGATCAAATAAAATAGAACTTTAAAGTAGTAATATAAAAAAAATGTAACGAAACTAAAAAAATGTAATACAAGCCTAAACCTAGAACTTAGAATAGGACTATTGTCATAAAAGTCACTTTATTACTGATTAATGATAAATGGAAAAAGTACAATTCTAAAGGCATTGAATTGTTTTTTTTAAGTAATTGAAGGACATTAACTAAAGAATAAAAAAAAAAGTATAAACAGTGTTTCCAATATTTTAATTTTATTGTGATTTTAAATATAATTTTAATAAACATGATACTAATAGATTAATAAATGCTTTTATGTTACTCATTGATAAGATCCTTATTAAGGATTCATTTGGACAAATCACTTATTTAAGATTTTATTTAATAATCTCTTATATATAATAAAAAATTTATTGTTATAAGTAATTAAAATTTAATAAGTTGTTATATTTAGATACATATATTAACAAACACTTATACAATTTTAAAGTGTTTAGATATATTATTATTTAAGCATTTATAAGATGTTATTTTATTTTAAAAATTTAAAAATTATAAACCAAAATTTTGACTAAAAATTACATAAAAAGGCTTTAAATGTTATCACTACAATATTACCTTATTTTGAATTTTTTTATCCCTCTAAAATTGAAACTATTGTTTTTATCTCTATTTTTGTGTGATCATTTTTAACCATTTTTTTCTATTAAAGATTAATTGAACATCTTATTATGTGTTACATATGACTATTAATGATATCATGTTAGTGTTTGACACATCTAAAATTTCATTTAGATCCTTAAAATAATTTTTAATCATTTGTCTTAAACTAACTATTATGGACCCAAAAAAGCAACTTTAAATTTTATAGCAATAAAAATTAAAGAAAAATATTTTATAGTGATAAAATAAAAATTTATTTATTTATTAGGGTAAAAAAATATTTAAAAATTTTAGAAAGATGAAAAATAAATTTATTTTTACAATTATGAAAATTAAAACTCCTAATTCTACAAAGATTAACAACGTTTTTTAGTAAAAAAAATATAAAGGTGTTAAATAATTTATAAAAATAACATTACACATCACAATAATATTAAAATAATAATAAAAATCATTAGTTATAATTCACCTAATTTTAGTTTATATAAAGTTAGTCAAAAAATATGAAAAATGAATAACAATGATTAAAAATGAAGAATTCCAAATTCAAAAATAAAAATTTAAGTCTATATATTTTATAAAATCACATAAAATAAAGTAAGTAGAAGTTTGTTTTAGGAGAGAGAAGTTTCTTGGATTTGAAGCAAAGATTCAGAAATATATAGCATACATTGATACATTGTTTTGCAGTTTACATTCAACACTTATGGCACCTCTTCGATCTGAAGGCATAGACGCTTTGGCGTCGTCATATATAGAAAGAGCATATCTAAGAATGCGCAATTCTGAAGACAGTGACCCTTTCCCGGTTTTCCGAGGTGAGAATTCTTGAACCAGTATGTTGTTTTAGAATATTTATTGACTAAATCTATTAATATGCATTCAACACTTATGGCACCTGTCTTTTCACCTCCGAGTGAAATACAAAATTCTGAAGACAGAGCTTTCTTGTCATTTATAGAAAAAACACGTCTAATAATACCTCATTATACTGGAGTCGTCGTAAACCCTTTCCCTTCCGAACCATTTCTAGAAAGAGGTGAGAATTCTTGAACCAGTATGTTGTTTTAGAATATTTATTGACTAAATCTATTAATTAATATGCATTCTGCCGCTCAAAGATACTTTGGTAGCCTCCCTCCTTTCTCTGTCGATTCATGCTTGGTGTGATCGAGGACTGTTTCTAACAAACTTTAAATTTAAGCCAAATTTTTTATTTAAAATTAATTTACTCTTGTTTAATTAAATAATTTTTATTTTTATTTTTATTAGTAAAATTGTTAATTAAATTTAATATGTAAGAAATTTTTTATTTATGATAATATTATGTGTGTGTATGTATAAATTTTATATTATTGTATAATTTATGTGTTAACAAAACAATTATAATAAAATATTAAAATATATTACTTTATAATTGTTTTTAAAAATTATATATATATATATATATATATATATATAACTTGGAGCAGGGCCTAAGGCGATAGTCTCATTAGTCTTGTCTTAATCACAACCCTAATGCGATGTGAGCATCCACAAGCACCAAGACACACAATACAGAACAAAGAAGACAATCCTGCAAACAAAAGTTTAGAATAAAAGTGCTTTAGTCACAAAAAGGATTTTTATATGAGTAATAATATTTTTCAATAAAAATATTTACACATTTGATTCCTTAACGGTGATTTTTTTTTTCCTTTCTTTCTTGTATTTTTTTTTCTATTTTTTCTTTTGCTTGATTATGTCTCTTTTTTAAATTATATTTTTCTAGTTATTATGATGTAAAATTTAAAAAGAAAATTTATTTTACAATTTCTATAAATTATTTTTTTAATATTTTTTCCTTATTAAAGATTGTGGGTATATGTGTTTATTATTATTGAATAATGAGAAGAGAAGTTAAAAAATTGCTATTTCTGACATTTTGAATTCTGTGATTATCGATAATTTTATTGATAATAGTGAAGTAACTTTGATATAATTATAGGGTAATATTATTATGTGATAATTTTATTGATAATGGTGAAATAACTTTGATATAGATTATAGGGTAATATCATTATGTTTCTTGTGATAATTAATAATAAGTAAGAAGGATCAAATTAATATTTATTCATCTTACCACGACTATATATAGTTTAAAGTTTCTACACATATATTAAAGACAATAATATATTACGAGTGACAAAAAGGGTCAATTCACCTAAAATAGGGTGAGCTAGGTTGGCCTATCAAAGAAAACAAGTTAAAAAATGTATTCCAACCCATTTAACAATGAGTTGGCAGGTTAACTTAATTTAGTGAGTTGGTTAGTTAGAATTGATGAGTTGATAGGTTGATCCACCTTTAACATACCTCAATTTAAAAATAAATCTCAATTAAAGTTTTTCAGTATGCATTATGAGTTCAACCTATAATTTTATTATTATTTGTGAAATTAATTAGCAAGGTTATACTTTTTCATACAAAAAAATAATAATATATATTTCTATTAAAATCAGACACTATACATGAAAATGTACTAGTAAAATACATGTGATTAAAATAATTATTTCTATTTCATATAAAATGAGAATAATTACATAGAAAGAGAAGTTTATGCTATAAAATAAAAACACTAATCCAACATAAATTCACTATAAATTTATCTTTTAAAAACACAAGATAAAATAACGTGGATTTACGAGTTGACATATTACCTTGATGGATTGGGTGAGTTGGTAGATTTATTTTCTCAACCCAACCCACAAAAATAAGCAGATCGACCTACCAGTTTCAACCCTTATTATTATCTCTATAATAAAGGTATCACTTTTTGATATATTTTTTTTACCAAAATAGTCTATGCTCTAATTTTTTTAGTTGTGGTTGTTGAATAATATATGAGATTACAAATTAAGAAAAATATATTAATATTACATTAGAAAGTGAGAATATCACTCATTTTGAGATATTTTCAAATGCTAAAATTATAGTTATTGTGGATGGAGGGAATACATCATTATATATTTTTATAAAACCAACTAAAATAATAACTACCTATATTAGTATGCATAATTTAATTATAAGTGTCTTATAATAAGAACATGAGTTAATATTAATTTTAGCATTCCTACATTCACAAATAAATTTGACTAATCTTGGAATTGACTCCTATTCTTGAAGCGGGTCTTAGTCACAGATTATTGAGATCTTTAATTCATAAGTTCCAACGAAGGTATGTTTCTTCAAGCTCGGCCCAACATGTTAATAAGTAATTTTTTTATCATTATTTAAAAGCTATTTTACATTTTTTTTGAATTTCAATTAAAAAATGGTACTAAAATGAATATAAGGATTAATTTCTATAAAAGTAGTATAATTTATATATAAATTGAAAAAAATAATTGAGATAAGATCGTAAGAATATCATGTTAATTTGGTTCCTCTAAAAAAAATATTTTATAGTTTTAATTATTTTGTATA